TATGGGCCTGCAATGTATAGATCTTGGTAGGTTGTACTTGTAAACAATAGTTGTTTTAAACTACAAATATATGAGTTCTAGATCGAAAACAGAAAATAACTTCCTAATGTACCCTCAAATATTGAGAATGACATGAATGTACATTTAGTTTTCTGTATTATTATATAAGGTGGAAGGATATATATATATAGATTCGTTTTTACTGACTGTTGAAATACATTCTTCATTAATTAAATTAGAATTACATATAGCTTATTTTGGTTGTAATGATAAACATTGTACAATTAACATGATTTATTTATAAAATGTGAAGGAAAAGTTATGTATTTTCTTGTAGACTACATATTTTATTGTAACAAATAACAAAGTTCAAATATTTTATCAGGAACTTTTTTATTGTTATCACAGTTATTTTGTAGACTTTATTCTTAAAATCTTTAAAGGTAGGATGCATAAAAATCATTTTTTTAACTTGAAGTTTTTGTTAAGAATGTTTCAGTATGTGCGATTCTTGTCAAGCGTGTGATTTTACTTACATATATTAATGATAGCAGATTGAGATGATGAAACATGAGTTCTACATAACAAATATAAATGGAGACTTGTATTAGATATTTAAACATACTTGTTAGAAACTGTTCTTCATGGGGTGTAATTTATCATAAAAGATTAAACTAACTAAACACATAATTACCTATCATTTGAGCTTTAGTTTGAACAGAGTGAAATTAAGTTAGTTTTTATCAAGGATAAGATGAGTATAAGTTATATATTCCGAATATTAGTAGACTGATCCTTTTTGAACTTTTGACCAATTGCTGCATGCTGGACATAGTTTAATCTTACTGAGTAGTGAGCATAGAGTGCTTTTGTTGTAAAGTACAATGAACTCTGTGAAATACAGGGATTATACACTAACGTTTTCGTTTATAACCTGTATTAAAATCTTTCATACTGAACTGAAATGAACAATTTGTAATACAAACAAAATGTACAAGAATTGTATGAAATCTAATGTTTTATAGACTAAAATGTCTGTAGTTTTAGTAAGTAGTATATTAGTGTATTTTGAAGTTTTGGTAACAAATGTTTCATTATGTTTGCTTGTTTTTAATTTTGCGCAAAGCCACATGAGAGCTAACTGCACTAGCAGTCCATAATTTAGCAGTGTAAGACTAGAGGGAAGACAGCTAGTCATCACCACCCACCACCAACTCTTGGGCTACTCTTTTACCAACGAATAGTGGGATTGACCGTCACATTATACCTCCACCATGGTTGAAAGAGCGAGCATGTTTAGTGGGACGTGGGTTCGAACCCACGACCCTTAGATTGCGAGTTGAGCACTCTAACCACTTGGCCATGCTGGGCCATTTCAGTATGCCTGATACTTGTTAAGTCTGAGATTTTACGTATGTATCATATTACCTGCTTAAAACATATTGAGTTATGCTGAAACGTGAGTTTTGTATAAGAAAATCCCAGAACACTAATTTGTAACTGATGATTAATATACTTGATGATCTTTCTATAAAGTGTAAGTGAAAGTTAATGCAGCACATGTGACATTGTTTCAATATCTATGCGAGGAAAATATCTGTTTTAAAATGTAAAATAGTCGATAAACTGGTGTTTTTGAGCCTACAAACTGAAATCTTACATGTTTAGTTTGCATTGAATGTACCCTGTGAATAAATAATACTGCTTGTTCACAAAATAATGTTTGACTAAAATGTACATGTTTGAATCCTTTATTCATTTATTTATGTAGTGGCGTGTATTTAGTACGACACATTAAAATGTCGCATGATAAATTAAGTGTTTGTTTTCACATAATTTTACACAAATGAAAAATATAGACTATCTGAATTGAACAAATAGTAATATGGATATAATGTAAAAAAAATGTATGACAGCGAATTCAATATTTTAGGAACTAAGGTGTTTATTTAATTAGTATGTTAGTGTATCTTGAAGATTTTTAAAGAAATGTTTCAGTATTTGTGATACTTGCCAAGTCTGTGGTTTTACATTGTTGTCGTAAAGTATATTCTGTAATTATAAACAGTAAATGTATTGGACTTATAAAATGTAAAATAATAATCACTTGTTTTTAATTAAAGATCCTTTTACGATTATGATTGTCAACTCTTTTTTTTTCCGGTTATAAACTATTTTCATTTGTGAAAAATTTATTTGATGCATTGGTGAACTAATAGGCCTAAATGTTATGGTGTCAGTGTGTTTCTTATAGCAAAGCCACATTGGGCTATCTGCTCTGTCCACCAAGGGGAATTGAACACCTGATTTTAGCATTGTAAATCTGAAGACTTACCGCTGTCTCTCTGGGGGCAGGTTATAGTGTACATAAAGTGAAGTTTTTAAAGATACAGAAATACACTACTTGTTTTAGCCATAGCGATTACGTCATTTGGTTTTACACAGTGGTCAAGCTATGAGAACTTGCCATCAGCTGGGATGCACCAGACTACTGAAGCAATAAGGTTGAAAGAGTGACCTATTTGTAGTAAACGTTCGTTTTTTGAAATGAAAAGTTCTACAGGAAAGAAATGGTAAAAATATTACTTGTCGAGCTTTTGGCCTATACGCATAAAGTTTCAGCCAGCGAGAAATAAGCCCTAGACAAAGATTTTTGAAAATATCTATAGAAAGGTAAGAATATAATTTTCTACAATAGTAATGGTTAAATATAGTTATTTACATGTATCATTTAAACTTTAGCAAAACAAGTGACCTTATAAAGCTACACATGAAACTATTTTATATTATATAGAGATTTATATAAGCATCCTTTTCAGGACGAATAGGTGTTATAAAATATATTAATTATAGAAACGAATTAGCAATAAGTGTTTTACATATAAAAAGTCAGACAATGCAAAAGTATGTCTTGCAAATTGAATAAAGAATCAAATGTAGTATAAATACATGAAATGTCATAAAACTTTGCAGCAGTAAATTAAATGTGTTAGTAACACTATCCACCAATAGAAACACTATCCGCCTCTGTAAAGCGTACGTAATTCGGTCAAATATGTAACCCAAAACTATAAAGTTGACGATAATGATAAGGAATAGATATTAAAATGGCAGACTTATTAACAGTATTATTATTAATAATAATAGCAGACTTGTAAAGTGAAACTGTAATTGACATAAAAACTTTTCAGTACTGATAATTGTAAATACAATGTTATGCAAATTAGATAAAATATTAATTTTAAGATTTTGTTGCTGAAGCGAAATTTTTTAAAGTTGATGACGTAATCACATGTTTAGACATGTTGACCTACATTACCCACTGTTGGACACTCGTGAACTATCTATGCAATAATCATCTTATCCCCTTCTCTAGCAACACGCCCTCTGATGCCACTTCGTGGACATATAACCCTTAGCAACGCGTTCTCTTGCGGAAAACAACTTCCGCCTATCAAGTGGCATGGAGGTATGAGAACTTCCACTGGTGATGTCTTGAATTAAATACTTACTATCTCTGGTCAAGACGTAAGCACTCCCTAGTTACATCTTTGAATATACAGACATCTACGTCCATAGACATAAGATGAAAGTAATATTAGAGAAAGTAGCTTACAATAACCTTAAAAAATTAATACGAAAACAATGTCTTCCCAGAAAATTGTTCTGTTAAATTGAACATGAAAGTAAATTACAGCATTTCTTCAGATTTAAATATAAATCATCTATATATTCATAACCTCAAATGGTGTATATCAATTTAAGATGTTTTTTTTTATATATATCTTGAAACTACCAGCAGGAGGTTTCATACGCAAATTTGAAATCAGCGTGCTTTCTCGGTATTAATAAGCATTAGGTAAACGATTGGAATTAGTCCATGTACAAACAAATAGTAAACAGAAACTTTCATAAAAGAACCTCTGTTGAATAATAAACCGTC